TTGGGAGCAATAAATTGTGCGTTAATCTTATAGGGTCTCGACTAATAATTGAAAATGTAGATTCTACGGAGGGGAGACCACTTAAAAGAGCCATTAATTCGAAGTCATCAAAGTTACTGCACTTTTGGATGGGGGCCAGGAGCAACGACAAGAATTGGTTGGATTTGAAAGAGAAGAGAGGGAGGGTTGTTTAGGGGGGGGGGGGGGAAAAACCAGAGCCATTTATTGTGTGGCCCTTTCTCCATCCTCCATAGGTTTCAATTTTCATTTCTGTATCATGTTTTACTTTTGTATCTTCCATTATCATTACGAGAAATCCTACCATGGGAGCACCCCATCAATAGGGGCTATTTATTTTCACAGTGTTTATGAAGTTGGTGTAATGGAACAGTTTAAAAAAAATTCTCTTATAATAGTAGGCTCATACAATGTCGACCGTCCGATTTAACTACTATTAAAGCATGTTTATTTTGCATCATAGAGAAAAAAAAAAGTGAGAAGTGATTTTCTTTCCTATTTAATAATATATTTATGTACAAAATCAACGAGAGATTTAGTGGGCCCCCTACAGCATAAAAACTGAGGAAAGAGAATGCCAATCTTTGCACCCTCTGGTATTAATTCCCGGTCAAAAGAAATAGATGTTAAATTTACTTATTTACCCTTAATGTATTATTACATATGGATGATTATTTAATTGTGTAAAAGAATATTCTAGTGATTACATTCATAATTTTGCTATTCTTAATTTTAAAGAGAATGAAGTCGATTTCTATTACACCATTTAATAGTTAAGTAAACACTTAAAAAAAATCAATAATCCTTACTATTATTATTTTACTTTTTTTTTCTAATCTTATTATTTTTCATTATATTTTTTTACGGTTTAATAAAAGCACCCTTAATGCTATCAATGGTTCTATTATTATTGTTGTTGGTGGTGTTGGTGTTGTTTTTTTCTTCTTTTGTTGTTTTCTTCTTCTTGTTGTTGTTGTAAAAGGAGAATATCTTCTATTATTATTGCCCCTAATCGTAGTTTGCCAAGAGAGAGAAACTGTTTAAATGAACCAATAAAAGAGGTACAATGATTGACGGTCACATAAAGATATGTTTTGTATAATTATCTACCGTGCAACAATGACAAAAACATAATGTGGTTACACTTAACCTATTAGTACTTACATTAACCTTAATTATTGGAGTTTGCAGTTAAACTTGTCCCTTTTTTTTATGTTTTTGCTTGAATTGTCCCCTTTTTTTTTATGTTAAACATAAACAAATAAGCAAGAACATGAATGTTACGGAGTAAATGTTTGGAATCCATTCACATTTGATGAAGAGTTTTAGAGGGCCGGCTAATTTGAACAAAACTCTTCAGTTATAATTTCATAATTAGCTAGAAAGCACTAAAGTAAAGACTGTTTTTGATCCAAATGATATGAAGTTTATACTTATCTTCTGATGGGAATAGACACCTCCCATTTTGTCCCCTAAAGCTTAAGAAGCCCATGTTCTCCCAGCAATTCACTTTAATCTCGATGTCGACAGATCATCACCCAATCAATGGAACTTGTTTATTTGGTTGGCCAAAAAAAAAAAAAAAAAATTGTAAGGGGAAGCTAGCGTGGGGCGAGGACATGTAATATACACACACATAAATATATATATATATATATATAAGTATGTAATATATATTTTTGGTAAATACACGTGTATATATATATATATATCCGTGCCAATGTACGTATAAGCGTTTTGAATATGTTGTGCATAATTTTGTCGTCAAAAGCGCTAAAAAGGAAGTATTACATTTGTGCTTCCACCAAAAAGCAAAAAAAGAAAAAAAAAAAAAAAAAAAAAAAAAAAAAAAAAAAAAAAAAAAAAAAAAAGCAGCAGCAAAGTATTTCATTTCTGTCAACGTCGCAATAGAATGGAGAGAAATCTCGAAGCTTCTACTTTGTGCATGGTTGTCTGAAATCCATTCCTCAAGCAGAAACACATGTCTAAGATCAACAAGAGCAGAACAGAAGCTTGTACTTCGTGAATGTCTGAAATGCCTTGGTTCTTCTAAAGTGAAAGTAGATTTGTTTTGTCGTGTAAATATACCATTCACATTTTTTTTTATTTTTTTAAGCAAAGAATTGGAAATAAATCATTGATCTTTCCATTGACTACTCACAACTTATTCGTGTTAAGTTTCTTGTGCTCCATTTGTAAGAAATTTATTAATTATTAATTTAACGTTTACTTAAATCAAAATGCACCAGATGTCGTTTCGTTCCCGAGAGAAAGCGACAAATTTTTTTTTTTTTTTTAATTGAAGTTCCCCGTGATTCTGTCTTCACACTCACACACCCATACTTACACACCAACACACATCTGGTGATTCGAACCTCAACTTAAGATTAGGATGGAGAGAGGCTTACATCCAAAAGGCGACAGGTTTTTTCAACTACAGGGATGACGCTTATTTTACATATGGTTAAACAAAATGTGCATCAAACCGACGACGTGCCGTTTTATTACCCTCAGGACACGACGTATTATTTAGATAACGTTTCTTTAAAGTAAAACGACATGTCATTCCACCAAGTAAATAAAACATGAACTCTAAACCAGAAGAAGAAAAGAGAGAGAGAGAAGGAAAAAAAAAAAAAAAAAAAAAAAAGAAGGGGGAAAGCGAAGCAAAGCAGACAAGAAATTGGAAGAGGAAACTAAAATGTGGTAAAAGTAAGAAAAACAATGAATAAATATAAGATCGTCTGATTTATTTATCAAAGAAATAAAGAAATTGTCTACTCTGGTAAAAAAAAAAAAAAAAATTGTTTTTTGAAAAAGCCAAAACTTGAAAATTA